AGACTCTGATGGGTGCTGGTCCATGTCTGCTCATCCTAGCAACCACAGGGAGTAGTGCGCACCTGTCACTCAGTTGCAGCCAACCCAATGCCTGCATCCCTGAGCTCTGCTCTTTAGCATAGGCAGCAGCATGGGGTCGAAAGCAGAGGAAGGCCCTCCACATTCCAAAACGGCACAGAGAAGCCCCAACACTGGTGGATGTGAGGAAGGCTCCCCTACAGGGTTCAGCTGACTCCGGCCCCCATGGGCAGAAGCTGAAGCCATGCCCTCCCAGCAGAGCACCAGCCTTGTGCTCACACTGCTGCTGCTTTGCTCTGATGGGACAGGGAGGGTAGCACTGGTGGGCACATGGCCCCTTCCAGGTCCTGGCCAACTCAAGGGGCAGACAGAGGCCACCTACGATTAGGCTGCCTCTTCGTCTTTGTGTGGCCCAGTTTTGGGTGTTTCTGTCAGTGTCTACTGCTATCAGGCACCCGCCTCCATCTCTGCCCCCTCAATCCACCAAGTATATACAGGTCTGCAGATACAGGAAGATGGACCACGAGGAGAGAGGCTGCCCAGTCCAGACAAGCCCCCCTTGTGAAGACACAATGACAAATGACAAGCTGCCCAAACAAAAGGTCTCCTGCAACTTGCTGAGCCCTCTTCTGGAGAGGGTGACCCAGCCGTGGAGTTCTTGCTTTCCCCGAGAAAGGTCAATAGGTACAGTACCCCTCGCCCCCCCCCCCCCCGAGTCTGGGAATGCCTGCTCAGGCTGGGGCCCCGCAGGCGGTGAACAGGGCTGGGAAAGGAGAGAGGCTGTGGAGTGTGACTAACAGGTTCTGGCCCAGACATGCAAGCCCACAGTCTACCCAGTTGCTAAACCCGCAGACATTTAGGATTTGTCAGAGCTCCTGTCTGACAGTGGAAAGTAGCGAGCCCAGATTTGTTCCAGGCGAGAGGCCCTCAGCTGCCACCACTTAGCTTTGCACTGGTGCTCCCGGCTTCATGGAAGGACCATCCAATGCCACAGGTGTGTGCAATTCAGATACAATACAAACATCTGTGCAAATTTTGTGCCTATGTGTGCATGCCTGTGGAGGCCAGAGGTCAACAACAGGTGTCTTCATCTTCCCCTCACTATCTTAACTTTTGAGATATGATATCTCACTGAACCTGGAGCTTACCAACTAGATGCGTTGACCAGTGAGTCCCAGAGTTCCTCCTGTCTCCTGTCTCTACCTTCCCAGGGGTAGGATTACATACGTCACAATACCTGACTTTGACAAACAAACAAACATGGGTCCTGGGAATAAAACTCAGCCCCTCATGCTGGCATAGCAAGCTCTTTACCCATGAAACCATCACCCCAGCCCTGGGCCCCTTATGTGTAGCCAATAGCTCTATGCAAATACACATGGCTATAGACCATCCTCACAGTGTGCTGGGTAGCAGCGGCTACCCTGCCCTGTCTTCTGCATCTGCTAGCTGGCTGTGTTTGCAGTGATGGTCTAGAGTGAAGGGCAGGCTGACCTGAGACAGGGCTTTCATGTCAACTGTCTTCCTCTGAGTCAACCACTTCAGAAGTGGCCCTCCTCAGGAGCTCATGAAGGACCAGTAGAAAAGGCACTTCAGGTTCAGGAGAGGGATCAAAAGGAGAAGAGGACTCTTGTTTCAAGAGGGCAGCCTCAATAAGCCCCCCCCCTTGCCCAGCTGGAGGAAAGTGAAACTTCAGAATCCACACGGTCAGTGTCCCTTCCAAGGGGAACTGGGGCAGCAACAGAGGTCTAAAGACCCGGCTCCTCAGTGGAAGTGGGCTACCCCTCTGAGTACCCTCAAGCCAAAAGACAGCACAATGGGTCCCAGTGTGGTATGCCAGCAAAGCAAGATGCCATGCATAGCACAGTCCCTTTGCTCAAGGTAACAATACACTGACTCTACTTTGGCACTGTGAGAAACCGAGGCACAATGCTACAGTGTCTGACAGAGCTGAAAGGTTGGAGAACAGGACAAGTAGAACCAAGCATGCTAGTGCCAACAAAGGTCTGTGCTGGTATTTGTTTTTAGAATATTTATTTAGTCACCTTGATACAAGCTGGAGTTATCTGGGAGGAGAAAGTCTCAGTGGAGGAACTGCCTCCATCGGGCTGACCTGTGGGCAAGTCTGTGGAGCATTTCCCTGATTTGTGATTGATATGGGCAGTGCTACCCCTGAGCAGGAAGTGCTGGAAGGTACAAGAGGAGCAAGCCACGAGGAACAAGTCAGTAAGCAGTGCTCGCCCACGGTCTCTGCTTCAGTTCCTGCTTGAATCCTGACCTGGATTCCCTTGATGGACTGGGATAAGACTGGGACACGGAGGCCAAATACACTCTCTCCTCCCAAAGCCGCTTCTGTGGCCATGATGTCTCTCACAGCAAAAGAAAGTAAGTTCTGACAAAGGATGAGAGATGGCAGAAGACCACCACCGCCAACAGGTATAGTAAGCAGCTGTCCTTTGGGACAGGGTTCAGGAGACACATGCCAGGCTCAGGGAGAGAAGACCTGCATGCTTGGTCCAGCCTGAGTCATCTGCCTCAAGAAGCTACCCAGAGCATGGGCTCCATTTGAGTTCACTGCACAGAAGCCCTGCTCATCTGGACCTCTTCACACGCATGCGCCAAGCTCACAGGTGCCACCTGGACAGCCCCGGTTTCCCTCCGCTGGAAAGTAGAAGCACCTCAGAGCCCTGGGCAGCAGCCCCTGCAGATGCACGGACCTGGTTCTTAGCAGCTACACAGGCACCTCACTCACAGCGCTGTTCTCCTTAGGAGACATGTGGACAGGAGGCTTGGATCTTAGTGAGGACGATGTTAGCACCAAAACCCCTTTTCAAAATTTAAAATTCATCAGACCTGCAGTGTACCTGACTCTCTTCCCCACAAACCTGATGCACTCTGGCCCACACCCCCACCAACCACACAAGAGGCCGTGGGGAGGACAGGCCTTCAGACAACACAGTGCCCGTGGTATGAGGACAATGGAGTTACATTGGGGCCACGCACCTGGCCAACACTACGACTTTGACACTTGTCCACACCCAAATCCAAGTCCTCTGCCCACCAGCTGACACGGAGTTGTGTGGCCCTAAGAACCCTGTAGGGCAGTGACTGCAGATCAGCAGGCTCTTTACCTCATCTCCTCAGCCCTAGAGACAGCACCTCTCACCAGCACCTCTCAGTCAGAGGCAAAGGAAAGCTGCCTCAACTTTGCTGTCCTTGACTTCAGGGACCCAGAGTCTGCATGGAATATGCTTCTGGGTCCACTAGACCCACCCTCAGCCAGCCGCCCGCAAGGGTCCTTATCACAGAAGAGATGTTGTGAAGCATCAGTGGCAGTGCTCGCTGTGTCTGCCCAGGAGCAGCCTCTCCAGCTTGGCTGAGTCTCACGATGAACGCTTCCCAGCACTTGGCCTGGGCACGGCTGCCTGGCCTTGCCAAGTTCCTCTGCCTGGCCTAGGCAGCCAGCAATGCCTGATGCTACAAATCAGATCATGCCATTTTTCTGTTTTAAAATGCCTAATGGCTCACCATCACTCACAGGATAAAGATCACGCTACTCGCCCGGGCCACACCAATTCTCCAAACACTCAGCCACGGCACCAGCACTCTCCTCTTGCACCCAGATGCATGTCCCAGGAACCCTATCTCCAGACACCAGCTCTCACAGCACCACCCATAATTAAACAGCCACAAGTCCATGTGAATAATGCCCCCATTAAGCTATGAGCTGATGAAGACAGAGTGTGTGGCTCTGCTGGCCAGTCAATTATCCACTCCACTCTGCCCTACAGTGCACAGCACATGCCACGCTGGGACAAATGCAAACAAACAGCTCTGTGCCTGCTATCCCCGCAGAGCTACTTTCCGGGCCTGGGTCTGTATGAGAAGTACTTTGGCAATGAGAGGAAACTTCGGCCCTATACAACGAGTGCTTCTGGGAAAGGTGTCAAGAGGTAACCCTTCCTTACTTAGACCTCAACAGCCCTGCAAAGCAGGGAGTCGGTCACCAGTCATTACCCAAAGAGAGGCAGAAGTCAGAAGAGTCTAACAGAGCCAAGGCCAATTCCATACAGGGGCAGGACCCCCATACAGTCTCTGGGACACCAAGAGACCAGCCTGAAAAGACTGCCTCCCCTCCCCCAAGTTCTATGCTACCTCATCAAGACCCCACTCAGTGTCTACAAGGCTTTCTTGTTCCCTAGGTTCCCATAGCAGCTCCTAGGCTGTCAAGTTCTGAGTGCAAAGCAGGAGGAAGGCTTGCAGGGGGTGATCAACTTATTCTGCTGCCTCTGACAAGATGTCAGGGCAGGGGTGATGGCCATCTCACGGTCGTTTCAGGCAGAAGCTAGGACAGCAGGCCAGGGGAGAAACTGAGGGCAGTTCTGGGTGTGGTGACATGTGCCTGAAGTCCCCAGTGCTGGGGAGGCAGAGTCAGGAAGACCCTGGAGCTCACTGCCAGTCAGGTCAGCTGAACTGGAGAGCTCAGTGAGAGACCCTATCTCAAGAATTCAGGTGGGGGACAGTTGCAGAAAAACCCCACCACATGCACACATATATGCATAAGCATTCAAACATACATATGCACATGGCAAAGGTGCCCTGCAAAGATTCACACCCGAGGTTTGAAGCTTGACCAGACTGTTCGTCTTTCTAGGAGGCAGTCTCTGAAAGATGCTTGCTCGTTTCCTTCAATTCACTGCTGGCTGTGTGCCCCTCATGCTAGGCCTGGTGCCTCATGTTGCTGGCAGCAAGGCAGGTCCCCATGGCCACCCTGACAGGAGTCTCTGCTCCTCTTGAGCATGGAGAACCAAGGCTTGGGGGACAGCTGTCAGTGCTGACCTGAGACATGATACTAGAAAGGCCTAGCCCATTGGAAACAAGGGTCTCAGCAGACAACATAACAGGCAAGGTCTCTGATGGGCTCTGCTCAAGCTCTAGGGAGTGACGCATGGGCAGCCAGTGGCTGAGAGAGGAGGCCATACCTGAGTGCATCCACCTCCTCCTTGCAGAATGGGAAGCTGGTCTCAGTTGAGCTTGTCTGGGCCCTCAGCATCTTCAGCTCCATCTCCAGCTATAAGGAAACACAGGGTAAGTGGTCAGCCTGTACAAAGACCCGCAGCCCAGGTCCCTGCTCCATCCCCAAAGTCCGGAAGTCTGTATTTGAACATCCCCAGGCTAGATGCCTAGTTTGTGCTGGACAGATAGGAAAGATGGTCGTCTGGCTAGACAATCCCATAGCCTAGATCCCCAGGCCACAAGGCATTCCGAGTCAGGTAAACACAGTGTTTACTTTCCCCATGCTCCTGATCCAAGATTAGGTGGGGAGACAGACAGTCGGCCATTCACACACTGAGGAGAGCTATAGAACCTCAGAGACAGAGAGGGACAATGTGAACAGAGATCACAGTGAATTACCACTGCAGGGATGGAACGTCACAGCATTTTCTACAGGGTGATATGAACTGCCTGCCTGTCCTGGGCCATGGTCTGCAGGCTACACTACACATCTGCTGGGAGGGGTGGGGTGCGGACAGGGAGCCGGACAGATCCCAGGCCCTAGAGAGTCAGGCACAGACAACACAGGCAAGCTCAATCAGCCAGGCCCAGGGAAAAGCAGATGGCTGCTCAACCAGCGGCTTCACCCGGAGCTGACCCTTGCTCTTTGCATGTCCTCAGCCCCATCCCTCCAAACAGATGCACACGGGGCCTAAGGACACACTGAACTTGACAGTTATCTAGGCAGCTGGCCAGTGAATTCCTGGGATCCACCTGTCTCCACCTCCCCAGTGCTGGGATTACAAGCCCACATTTTTGCACGAGTTCTGGGGACTGGTCTCACATCCTTGTGCCAGCACAACACTTTACTGGCTGAGCTATAGACGTTGTCCCAAGGATGGTGTCATCTTAACGTGCTGCTGACTTTTCTTCCTAACACACTGACACTGTCATCTATGGTACAGTTCCTCCATGGTGAGGCGCAAGCCACACGGTGATTACTTCCGGAGTCCTTCCCTTGCCCCCACACTCTAGCGTGGCTTATGTGCGGTGGCAGGCCTCACGGTTTTGAGAATCTGATAGAATGGCCCCTGAGAATGGCTGTGCTGGAAGTACTTCCTGTTTCTTATTGATGGAGAAGGTAACAAGACTACATGGTGCATGATGCTACAGCAAGAGCTGCGTGTGTGTGTGTGTGTGTGTGTGTGTGTGTGCATGTGTGTGTGTGTGTGTGCTCGTGCATGCACATGCATGGCTATGCACATGTAGCCTCAGTGCGGACGTGTAGTTCAGAAGACAACTTGCAGGGATTTTTCTCTCATTCCACTGTATTGTCCTGGAGATCAAACTCAGATCATAAGGTTTGTGCAGTGTCTTTACCTGTAGACCCATCCTACTGGCCTCATAAAGAGCAAGTCCTCAGTAGTAAAGCTCCCTGGCTTTGGAGAGACTGGTCAGACACACATGCACGTACTGCAATCATGGAAACAGTTGTCTCTCTGTGTGCTTCCATGCTCCCTACAGAGTGCAGTACAGATGTCCTTGTATACCTTCAGTACTGGGAGGCGCATCTGCCCGCTTCCCGCAATGCTTTCTGGCTTGAATTCAGATGAGGCATGAATAGCTGATGCCTGCTCAGATGCTTACAAATGCCAGTGGCCTTGGCAGCCACCTGTTCCAGTTTCTTTGATTCTGAGTGGAACTCATCAGAAAGTCTTTTCCTTTTAGTAGCAGAGTTTAGCCCATTCATATCCTGCTATCTGCCTGTACTAATTTCTATTGCACTGGGCTCCCGTGCTTTCTGCCTTCTGTCTTCTGAGTGTGTTTCCTTTTGTGTGTCTTGCTATTCAGCATTTGTGCTGCTAAGTACTGCCTGCTCTATGCTGCATCCATACCTTCCTGTGATGGACTGTACCAAGGACATGTCCCATTGAATGTGTGACTAGTTAGGTATGCCACCCTCCTTGCTTGGTAACTGTATACAGTTGGTGACAGTGAATGCCACATTTTCACCTGCTGGGCTGAACGCCCAAATAAAGCCTTGGGACTTGGTGTGTCTGGTGGCTCGGCTCCAACACAGTACACTTAAGACTTCTTTCCCCAGTGGGGTCAGTTGCACTCATCCCTGGGGCCCTGGACAGATGAAGGTGACAGTGGGGCTCCCCCCTTTCTATTTTGCTCACAATGGTGACTTACCACATTTCCACCTGTCCCTGGACAGGCCTCCATCACCTCCTCACATCCACAGACCATCAGAAACCCACCATGAGCTTTAAAAAACTCTATTGCTTACAGACATATAACCATGCAGGCTGCGGGCCATCTTGGTCTTTTTATTCTTGTAACCCACACCTCATAACCAGTCATAAGCTCTCTCTATTGGCAGCAGAAACCTATCAGGCCTAATCTTCTGGTGGGTCCCAAGACACAGTTAAATATGCTTCCACGTCTTCATGGTGACTTTCCATCTGCCCCACAGCTTCCCTGGCAATGGTGGAGAAGCCCTTGCTTTATTTCCTCATCTCTGTTGTACTCTGTCTCGGTGCTTCTTTCTAAACACCTGTACCCTGCACTACCCGGCACTCATGGCACTGTGGGTGTGCATATACTGCGCATTCTAACTGCTCACAGGAGCTGCAGCAGCGTCTACCCATATGACCTACATCTTCCACATGACAGACATGGCTCTCACAGCCGATGCTGTTCGGCCTCTGCCATGGCTCTCCCTCCATGTGCTCTGTGATCTCCTGCCTCCCTCCTGGACAGCTGCACTTCCTCACTCAGCCACGTCATTGCTGCTCTGGGCCTACAAATGTCCCAGGTTCTAAGTACAGTTAAATTCCACTTTCTGACAAACTGTGAGCTCAGGGTCAACTTCTTTGCCTATGGATTTCTCCATCCTGCTCCCTAGCCTCCTTCCTTTGATCTCCTATCAGAGCCAGCTCCATACCTGAGGTGGCACGGAAGGGAGAACAGGCCTCTTACTTTTCTAGGAGTCAATCTCACAGGCTCGCTACAGGTACAATTAGAACCACTGCTTCCTCCACTGAGACTCAAGACTCACTTTCACAGCAAGCGTGGCCTGCGTCTAGCCATATCAACAGGCACCCTAGTGCCCACTGTAGTCCTGTGGACCAGGACAGCACCTGAATCCTGCTCTAAGGAGGTAAGGCCTGACGGGCCACTGTTGCAGCCTAAGGTCTAGGACTACCTGGCAGGAAGCGTCTCACCAGCAGGTAAGTTACCTGATCCTCCCCTTCCCAGGGTCTTTTCCCGAAGCCTCTACCCTACCTTCCCCTGGCAAACAGTTTTATGCAATCCATACAAATGCCGGTCCTCCACCAGAGGCCATGTGCCTCCTGCTTGTAGCTTGGTTCTCCTCTACTTCTACTTTGGCAAAACAGAAGTTTGCCTTTTGTTCTGATTCCTGTTATTTCTGCATGGTCTGCAGGGAAGGAGTGGGAAGTGCTGGCTCACACCACAACATTCAGACCAAACACGGACCTTCTCATTTGCATCCGCAGCCTCAGGTTTATGCTCAACAACCGCCACCCCCACCCCCACCAATTCTCTTTCCCTACTGAACCTGCACCAGGTTCCTAGCCACTACCTGGTGGTTGGCCCACCAGCCTCACTGTTCAGCACTGACTTCCACTTTGGCCACTCTTCTTCTGACCCACAGCATAAGCCAATGATTGGAGCAATAAGTCCATGCTGAGGTTCTGACCTAAAGTCACCTCAAACCCAGCTCTTCAAGATGCCACCTCCTTCAGGAGCAGCACACTAAGTGGGCTTCATTTTTATTATTTGCAGTGTTAGGGACAGAACCTAGGGCTCTACCAGTGAGTCACACCTCAGCCCCTCACTGGGGGATTCTAGGCAGGGGCTCTCCCACTGAGCCA